TGCGAAGCAGCAAGTCATTACTTTAATTAAGCATATTTGCTTATTAAACCCAACTCGTTTTCAAGATTGCATCACTGATTTATTTTTTAAAAAGCATTTTTAAAAAATGCTTTTTTGGTGTAGTGTGAGTTTCTGAGAAGCTAACAACCCCCACACGAGTCACCAACTCCAGGCGCAGGACAGCAAATGATTTGGTGAGGATTGCCCATGTGGGAGTCTCCACTGTCGCTGGTCAGGATACTTTAAGATCTATTAATAGTAAAGTACATGAAGACGTTCTTCTTTGTGTCACAGAAGCTGTCTGAGAATGAATGGGTTGTCGTCAGTGCTGATGCTATTGTGGAGGTGGCGTGGTTTTCTTCTAATTCATTTTTTTTTGTTTTTCATTTTCCCTACAGATAAAGCTGGAACAGAGCAACACACTGCAGGACAAACACAAAGCACAAACTGTCTCAGCAAGCACAGAAGCTGTGGCACCCTTCACTCTCGGCTTTGAGAACCCATCGAAAAATCTATCTTCGGATAAGACGTTTAAATGAGGTCCCATCTGCTTGTTCAGGTGGACGTTAAAGATCCCATGGCACTATTTGAAAAGGGAAGGGAGTTTCTCTCTCCTGTTGTCCTGGCCAACAATCCCTCCTACCAATAAAATTGAATTGTAAATCTATCATTTTGTTCTCTTCTCAGTTTCGTATTTAAAAAAAGAACTTGCTTCTCCCAGAAATCTGTGGAGTCCTGTAGCATAGTGGTTAGAGCATTCACCTCGCAAGTGAGAGGACCATAGTTCGACTCCCAGGGTAAAACATTAGACAAGTTTCCTTACTCCACATGCCTCTGTTTACCTAGCAGTGAGTAGGAACCCGGTTGTTAGTCGATTGACAGATTGCTTTATGGGGGTAATAATCCCTTAAAAATAAAAAAATGTTGTCACTCAATCCACGACTATTTGTGGGACATTTCTGTTTACGATTGACTGTGCATTTCTCCCACAAAATATAGTCATAAGAATATAAGAACATAAGAAGTAGGAGCAGGAGTAGGCCATTTGGCCCCTCGAGCCTGCCCTGCCATTTAATAAGATCATGGCTGATCTTCTAATCTAATTCCATTTACCCGCCCTATCCCCATATCCCTTAATCCCATTATTTTTTAAAAATCTATCGATCTCAGTCTTGAACATGTTCAATGACTGAGCATCCACAACCTTCTGGGGTAGAGAATTCCATACATTCACTACCCTCTGAGTGAAGAAATATTTTCTCAACTCAGTTCTAAAGGGCTGACCTTTAATCCTGAGACTATGATCACTAGTTTGAGATTCTCCAACCAGGGGAAACAGTCTCACGGCATCTACCCCATCTAGACCCTTAAGAATCTTATAGATTTCTGTAAGATCACCTCTAATTCTTCTATATTCTAGAGAATATAGACCTAGTGGAGTCCTGTAGCTCAGTGGTTAGAGCACTCGCTTTGCAAGCGAGAGACCTGAGTTCAATCCCAGGCAGAGGGCGAAACCTTGGGCAAGTTTCCTTACTCCACACAGAGCCTAATAATAATCCCTCCAAAACCAAAAACAATAATAAATTGGTCATTTTCAATCTACGACTGTTTGTGGGACATGGCTGTGTGCAATTGGCTGCCGCGTTCGCCCACAAATATACAGTCAATTCACTTTACATTGTGTTCTGTGAAGCGCTTTGGGACGTCCTCCCGACATGAAAAGCGCTATATCAAATGCAAGGATTATTTATTATTATTATTAGTCTACTTAACCTCTCCGCGTAGGTCAACCCCCTCATCCCAGGAACCAACCCAGTGAACCTATGTTCCACCCCCTCTAAGGCGAGTGTATCCTTTCTTAGGTAAGGAGACCAAAATTGCACACAATATTTCAGGTGCGGTCTCACCAAGGTCCTATACAATTGCAGCAAGACTTCCCTACTCTTGTACTCTAACCACTTTGCATAAACGCTAACATGCTATTAGCCTTCCTAATTGCCTGCTGCACCTGCATACTAACTTTCTGTGATTGGTGTACAAGGACAGCTAAATTCCTCTGAACACGAACACTATCTAGTCTCTTCACCCTCTGGAAAATAATCTGCTTTTCTATTTGTTCTAGGTAGGTGAATAACTTCACACATTATACTGCATCTGCCACCTTCTTGTCCACTCACTTAACCTGTCTATATCTCTTTGCATCCTCCTTGTGTCCTACTCACAGCTTACTTTCCCACCGAGCTTTGTATCATCAGCGAATTTAAATACATTAAGCTCTATTTCCTCATCTAAATCATTGATGTAGACTGTAAACAGTTGAGGCCCAAGCACTGATCCTTGTGGCACTCCACTAGTCACAACCTGCCAATCTGAGAAGGACCTGTTTATCCCTACTCTCTGTTTTCTGCCTGTTAACCACTCTTCGATCCATACTAATATATAACCCTTAATTCCCTGAGCCCTAATCTTATGTAACAACCTTTTATGTGGCACCTTGTCGAATGCCTTCTAAAAATCCAAGTACACTATATCCATCGGTTCCCCCCCATCTAACCTGCTAGTTATATCCTCAAAAAAACTCTAAATGATTTGTTAAACACAATTTCCCTTTCATAAAACTGTGTCGACTCTGCCTGATCATATTATGACTTTCTAAGTGCCCCATGATGACATCCCTAATTATAGACTCTAGAATTTTCCTTACCACTGATATCAGGCTAATTGGTCTATAGTTCCCCACTTTTTCTCTCCCACCCTTCTTAGATAGAGGCGTTACATTTGTGACCTTCCAATCAATGGGAACCGTTCCAGAGTTCAGGGAATTTTGAAAGACCAAAAACAATGCATCCACTATCTCTGCAGCCTCCACTGGCTTCCCATCCCCCAGAGGATCGAATTCAAGATCCTCATCCTCACCTACAAGGTCATTCACAGCCTTGCTCCCTCCTACCTCTCCGACCTACTATCCCTCTACTTACCTGCCCGTACCCTCCGTTCCTCTGGCTCCGGTCTGCTCCACATCAGTGGCCATCGGTGGCCGGGCCTTCAGCCCCGAGGCTCTGGAACTCCATCCCCCGGTGCCTTCGCCGCTTCCTCCCTTTCCTCCTTCAAGGCCGGTCTCAAGACCTTTCTCTTTGACCTTCAGCTCCCCTCTCGACTCTCTACCCCCTCCTCGCTCCCTCCCTTCCCTCCCCTCACCCTGACCATTGCCCCCCTGCTCGGGTCCTGACCCAACTGTCCAGCGCCTTGAGACGTCCTCCCGACGTGAAAGGCGCTCTACAAATGGAATCTTGTTGTTCTTTTAAAACCCTAGGATGCAGGCCATCAGGTCCAGGGGATTTATCAGTTTTTAGTCCCATCAATTTCTCTTGTACTATTACTTTACTGATATTAATTTCCTTAAGTTCCTCACTAACATTAGTCTCTTCCAACGTGAAGACAGAAGCGAAGAATTTGTTTAGTGATTCTGCCATTTCTTTATTTCCCATTATATTTTCTCCTGTCTCTGCCTCCAATGGACCCACATTTACTTTTGTTAATCTCTTCCTCTTTATATACTTGTTAAATCTCTTACAATCTCTCTTTACATCTCTAGCGCGTTTACTCTTATATTCCATTTTCTCCCCCTTAATCAGTTTCTTTGTTATCCTTTGCTGATCTCTAAAGCCCTCCCAATCCTCAGGTTTACGGCTCCTTTTGGCAATATTAGAGGCCTCTTCTTTTAATTTTATACTTTCCTTAACTTCTCTAGTGAGTCAAGGTTGAACCACTTTTCCCGTGGAATTTTTATTTCTCTTTAAGGGAACATGCCTTCGCTGGGCACGCGCATATTCTGTGGAGTGCTTTGAAGTTGCCTCAAAAACGAGATAAGGCGCTTATATCGAATGGAAGGATTATTATTAATCCGCCATCCGTGGCTGACTGCCGGCTTTGCCTGTAGGCAGAGCAGTCCCTATTTACCTGTTCAGCACAGGTAGTAATGTGTCAATCAGTATCTCAATGTATTTGTCCCAATGTAAGGCAGGTGGTGTGTGCGCGCGCACCCTCCTCCCCCCCCCCCACACACACACCTCAATCCACCATCCGGGTCTTCATGTACCGGTCAACCGAACCTGCCAGAAGCCAGGGGAGCAACCTAACTTGATTAAGAGTGGGAGGGGGGGGTTAAGCATGAGACTGACAGCGGCTCTAACCAATGAAAAGTCGGGATCGACCCTCGGCCGGGAGGAGGGGCGGGAGCATTAGGCTTGACGGACAGCAAAGCGGACCAATGAAGAGGGAGCCGAGACTGACGGCCGCAGTCATCAGGAACGGGAGGGGCGGGAGCATGAGGTTCGACAGACAGCAGCAAAGACCAATGAGGAGCGAGGAACGGACCTTTGTGGTCAAGAGCGAGGTGTGTGATTGGGCGGAAAGAGGAGGCGAACGACAGCGAGAGAGAGAGTGTGTGAGGGGGTGTGTGGGGGAAGAGAAAGAGTGAGCGGCTGTCGTTGTCGTCGTCATTGGGGAGAGGGGGAGCAGGGCCGGATGTGCACCTCTCAGGTCGATCGGGAGCAGGCGCACTGCACTGAATGAAGTTTAATGGTTCGGGTGGACTAAATAATCCCGGGGCCTAGTCCTGCCTGTGACTGAGGCGCGGTGCGTGCGGGCGGGGCTGTTGGCCGGTCGCCGCCGAAGTCGAGTGTGTTTAGGGGGGGGGGGAACGAAGGGAAAGGGAAAGAAAAAGAAAAAAAAAGGAAAGGTGGTTAAAAGAAACAAAAAAAACTTTAATAATACTCCCCCCCCCCCCCCCTCTCTCCCCCCCTCCTTTTCTCTCTCAATCTCTCGGTTGTATCCCGCGCGCGCAGACAGGCAATATTTAGATCGTATTTTGTATTTCTGTATTAAAAAAAACGTGACGAGAGAAAGAGAAGGAGAGAAAAAAATTATTTCCGTCGCTTCTTAAAAAAAAGTCAGACAACGTCGCCCCCATCCCCCCGCCCTCTCCCTCTCCCCCTCCCTCCCTCCCTCCGCGCTCTCTCGCTTTCGCTCGACCGCCCGCCCGTTCGCCGCCAAACCCTCCCCCCCCCACTTCTCCCTCCACACATACACACACACATACAGAGAGAGAGGCAGACGCTAGCGGGGGGTTTGAGGAGCGCCACCGCCGCAAAAAGCAGACGAATTATGCAGAATGAAGTGATCGCGGAGAGCCGAGCGCTGGCAGCAGCAGCGGACACCATGACAGACGCCTTCGAGGACGAGATCGACTCGGTGACCGCCGCCGTCAGCACCAAAGTTCGCATCTTGGAGCCCACCCCAGGCGACCGCCTGGATTTCCAACTGGCCGTGCTCTCGGGGAGCGAAGAGGACGAGGTTTCTGAGGTAAAAAAAAAATTTCCCCCTTTTTTTCGTTCTTTTATTCGCTAACCTTTTTTTTTAATCCGCAACCAGCTGTGTGCTGATCCCACCCCAACCACCCCACTTCCATCTCCTGAACGAAATAATAGTTAGGCCCCGAGAGCCTCGGGGTTTATTTTTTATCCGTTTTTTTTATTTGTGTGTGTGGAGAGGGAAAATGTGAAGAAGATGATGACGATGATGGTGGTGAAAAAACGGAGGAGGGCCTTTTTTTTGACCTCTTCTTTTTTTTTGCGCGTATTTCCGGGCCCAGGATTGAAATTCGACCCCGAGGCTCGGCTCGGGTGAAGCGGGTAGGCCGAAAAGAGAGAGAGAGGGAGAGAGAGAGAGAGAGGGGGTGGGGGAGGAGAGAGGAGAAGAAGGCGACGGCGGGGCTGAGTGCGCTTGTGCGACCGGCACAATGCACCATGGGATTTGTAGTCCTGGTGAGCGCCGCGGAGACTCGAGAATCTGAGCGAGAACGAGGGTGGAACTACAACTCCCAGCGTTCCGCGCCCCCTCGTTCTCAACACCCCCTCCTTTTTTGGGGGAGCTTCAGAAAAAACTAGTCCTGGCCTGAATTATCCTGGTGCACTAACTCACTAACTAACCTTCGGTTTGAATTTGATTAGATTTCCCTCAGCACACACAAGAGGCAGTGCCCGTGACATTCCCCCACGAGTCGAAGGCATTGGACAGGGCCCTCTTGCTACATAATGCCTCTCACCAGTTATTTTATTTTTAGCCTCATGTTTCCTGCTTTCGCTTACGTATTTCTGGTCGCAAATTAATTTGGGGGCTTCCATGTTTATTCCCGTTTACATTGGGATGCGTCAAATGAAACGGAGACGGGCCAGTCAGGCATTCCAATTTCTCGAAATGCTGTTCCTGTTCGCATTAATCTGGTCCCAGGGCCCGTCTATCACATGGTGTGCGGCCAGAGAGCGGATATGGGTGTAGTTTTTACAGTACTTCAGTTATTGCTCCAGATGGATTTTGATGCATCACCAAATGAGCCGGACATGCCTGGCTTCCCTGCATTAGTGTTCCCTGGGACTCATTCTAAAGATGGTGTGATAAGTGAATGGAGTAAATACATTTTAACATATCTTGTATGGAGTAAAATGCAAACTAATTACAGAGCTTTAGATGATAGAGTGGTATTTAATAAACTGGAAGTATTGCACCTTGAAAGAACGGGAGGTCAATGGTTCACATATTTTTACTTCTCTCAGACACACAGCGCTTTTTATTGTTGCATGCTAAAAACTACATTTAGAATATAGGGGAATACTGAAAAAAGGCTGAAATATTTTTTTTTCTTTTTTTAAAAAAAAACAATTTTCATCTCAAGTAGTGTGATGTTGCTTGTTTTTTGTTTCACACCAAGAGGGTTAGGATCATTTGCTCACAAAACACAAGTTGAGTACAACTTTAAAAAGTGAGTCATGTTTTCCAAGTTTTCCAAGTCGAGCTGTTTTTTTTAAAAAAAAGGAAGTCACAAGTAAAATGACCCAATGATCTCCCAATATAAATGTTCCCAGTTTGTGCATTCCCTTCACTTAGTTAGGGTACCTAAACCTACACATCAGTTTGGATGCCCATCATGGTGCTCTCTCTAATTTCACATTTCAGTTGTAAGGAAGTCAGAGCTCCAGGTGTGTCAGATTAATTCTGTGCACAAATCTTCCATTGTATCCCATTGTATACTATCTTTTTATACACCTTAAAGTCTTGATTGTGTTCTTTGATCTTGTTTGACACTTCATGGTTTCAAAGAACTGTCTTCCAGGTCCCACAGGTTCTAATCCTAGCTTATACAGCATTTTGTAAGCATTTCTTATTTTATCTGCTTCCTGAAAACTTACCTCTTGTGGCTTATGGTCATCTCCCCATGCTCGGCGTCCGACACAGTCTTTGAAGCTTGTCAAGGTGTTACTGTATGTACCCAATGCTATATAAAAGCAAGTTATCTCCTCGATCTTAGTGATAATTTTACATGTTTTCCATGGGGTATTTTCTTCTTTTGAGCCTAACTATCTTAATCTATTCAGATAATGTTTTATTCTGTTTGCCCACCCAATTCGGGATTTTTGACTTAGCAACTTTGGATACATTTTTGTTTCTGCCCCATCTCAAGTTATTTTATGAAAACAGGTGATCCAAATGATCTCAGTCCTCTAGTTAAGGCAGTGGGAAATATTGGCTACCCACCCCCTCATCATTGCATTACTCTTAGTGCACATATGGAGGTGAGGATGGAATTGGTTTAGTATAACCATTGTCAAGTGTAACCTGTAACAATCTTGAGGCTGGGTTTATGCATGAAGCAAACGTGTAGAGAGAAGAGGTGCATTTTGATATCAACCAGGGCATCTCCTTAATGTTTTTAAAATAAAAAGTCTTAAAAAGGCAACTAGCTATTTAGGGAGGGACAGCTCCTGGTTGGACTGTGCCTACATTAAAATCTCCCATTTTTTTGGAGCAGGTGTAAATAACATGAAGATATCTCTATGGCTAATGAATACACCAGAATGGGCAGGGAAAAGGTAAATTTATGCCAAGTATTCTTGGAGGTTGGCTGGATTTTTCATACTTGAAGGACCTGCCAACACTCATTGTGTCTCACCTATGAATAGTGGCCACTTATGTGAGATGCCAGAGGGTATCTGGTACTTGTAGAACTGAACTCCCAATATTTCTTTTGTGAGCTGTGTCTTGAAAATTGCAGAATTCCATCACCATGCTTGTGTCTCTAAACCATATTAAGTTCCACATATGCACCTAAAACCATGTAACGTGCCATTGAGAGACCTTGCTGGAAGCTTTCCACTACTTGTCCAGCTGGCACCACTCTATGCGTTAGGGATTTGGGTTGCAGGCTTAACAACAACAGCAAAGTTACATTTATATAGCGCGTTTCATATCAGGAGGACGTCCCAGGGTGCTGAAACAGGAGCCGCGTAAGAAGAATTCCTGTGTCCACCCTCAATAGGTGGATAGCACAAACCTGGAATTCCCTATGAAATTTCTGGAGTGCACCACAACTCAGCAATGAATGTGTGTGAGCATCACTGCCATCATCCTGCCCATTGACTTGCTTGCCCCTCTGCATTGTAATAAATATGCACTCCATGCCCTGGATATATGAACATGTACCCTCAGTAGGAGCAGATGGATAGAATGTCAAAAGCTTTTTTGGGGGGAAAAGAGAGGTTGGAGAATATATGAAAAGAAAACATTTTCATAGAGGCAGTTAACATAGTCTGATGTATGCTATTGCTTCATGCAGTCTCTATTCAGTAAAATTCAGAGTGTAATTTCTCCACTCTGAGTAATCTTTACCAACGGCTCAGCAAGGTCATAGATATGACTTGTACACTTTGTGTGATCGATATACTGAATTTTGTGGTACGTTGTCAATTGAAACCCACTGTATATATAATTTATCCAGTTGACAAAGATCACCATACATAACGTATTCATGGCCAAGTAAATAAAGTGCTTCCCTTTGCAGCATAAAGCTGGGTAGGCCAGAAAGTCTTGGGTTCAAATCCTGGCACTGGTAGTGAGGTAGCTGGGGGAAATATCATCCATGCCTGATAGCTGGGGATACTCAAAGAAGATAGGGTTGTGCTTATCCATGATTGGCTTTTTGATCAGACGGTTACTGTCACTTATTCTGCAGACTCAAAAGTGAAAGGTAGCTTTCGGGTAAGGAATTGGATCTCTGAGATGTTGTAGTGCAGTATGCCATTTCAGCAGGAAGGGTCCGGGGATAGAAAATTGTGGAAAATTGGAGGGGGAATATGTATCACTATAATTATTCCATCAATGATCTATTTTGTCTTCAAAATAAAACGTAAACATTCTATTTACCTCATTCCCCCAAGTTTTCCTCTTTGCAGGTACCTCAGGATGCCAAAACTCATGCCAGAGCAACCCACAGGAGACCTGCCATCCATTCGTCTTTCCCCACTGGTGATGTCTGTAGTCAGCTCAACAGCTGAGATCTGTACCTCAGTGGGATGAGTTTTTTTATCTGACTTCTGTCTGTTTTCATGTGTAATTGCACAGTTGCAGCTGGACTGAAAGGTTTACTGTTCAATTGTCCCATGTATTCTGGTATGTGGTGGTGCAATGGCTTTGCGACTGAATGTTTCTTTTGAATACTGGCTTTTTTTTTGCTTTTCACAAGTGGCCGTTCATGTGTGAGACTAGACAATAGTTGGTTGGCAGGCAAAGCAACTATGGAGGGTGTTACAGCTGAGTTGGATTTCATCTTTCCTCACTTTCTAGCAAGGTCACTGGATAGAATTGGGAGTCCTAGCTGACTCCTTCTTCCTAGCTTAGTAAATGTACTGAAGTGGTTAACTTCAATTTGAATCTGTTTTTATTAGAAGCATGGTTTATAGGGTGATGGAGAAGACCAAATTCAATATTGTTGGAAATACACTTTTATTGGTTGTAAAAGTGTCATCTTGCTTTAGTTGCTAGTACTCTCACTTGGTGTCAGAAGGTTGTGGGTTCAAGCCCCACATCAAGTTTATAGTCTCGACTGAAACACCAGTGCAGTACTTAGGATGAGATGTTAAGCTGAAGTCCTGTTCAAGAGGATGTTAAACATCCCATGACACTATTTGAAAAGAGAAGGGAGTTTCTCCTGTTGTCCTGGCCAACAACCCCAGATTAATTGGTTATTCACTTCATGGTTGTTCATGGGACCTTGATGACACAATTAGCGGCTGCGTTTGCTTTCAAAAACCGTGACTTACCAATAATTATGTATTCACCTTGTGGCTGTTTGTAGGAATCTTTTGATGTAAATGATAACTGCATATGCCTATAATAAACGTTGCTACTTTTTTCTATTATGTCTCAATAGAACTTATGATGTTTCGAAATAAAAATGTAAGTTCTATCTTTGTCTTCAGTACAGTTTAGAGGATGCAACCTTGTGCCTGAAATAAAATTTAGTGGAATTA